ATTATATTATTTAATTAAGTTATTTTGTAATCAAATTTTATTTTGTGAATATGCAGTTTACACAATTTAAAAATAAAATTAGAAACCAAACTAATTATATCAATTTTAAAATTTTATAATTTAAACCAACTTAATTTATATTAATTTGATTTGATTTTTTATTAAATTAAATCAATTTGAATTAGATCAATCTGATTAAATGAATACCCCCTAATTTGGAGTATTGGGTGGGACCGCGAGTATCCTAAATCGGGCTTCTTCACCCCAATGGCACTGTTTTACTTTCCTCGGTACACCTCTCTTCCATATTTTTCATTGCGTCTGTGTTCTCCCCTGTTCTCTGCTTAGCTTCTACTTGGTTCAGCTGTTCAGGGAAGGAAAGTTCTTTGGTTTTTGCGCGGCAGACCCATTTGCATTCTACGGAAGAAGATCAAGATTCCGATTACGTCGACCTTAGTCCTGTTCTTTCATCGGATGAGGAAGACAGAAGATATAACGGTTTTTTTTATCATTCACTCCGGCGACGGTGACAAAATTTTTAGTCCTTCCCATTCATCGGATGAGCAAATGGAAAACGAAAGGAGTCATTATTCAGTCAGATCCGACTATAGGGATGAGGGACACTGGCCGGAAGGTGTTCGGAGCTCTCCCAAAAGACGCAAAATTCCCGTGGTAGATCGCATCAGCGACTTGCCTGACTCCGTCATCCACCATATCCTCTCATTTTTACCAGCTGAAGACGCCGTCAAGACCGGTGTTTTGTCTAAGAGACGGATGTATTTATGGACTTTTGCCCCAAAACTTACTTTCCGACACAATCCTCATCCTCTTGGATTTTCTCGTCAGAGTTTCTTGAGGTTTGTCGATAAAACCCTAATTTTCTACTCTTCTAGCAAGATGGAGAAATTCGAACTAGATTTTGATTGTATGTTTGGTGGAATGAGAAGGAATCATTTAGATTCTTTAATCCAAAAGTGGCTCCGTTTCGTTATCAGACGTTTTGTAGAGGAGCTTTCTTTGAAATTCTGCAGAAGTAATGACTATTGCCACCATAATTATCAACATCGCATCCCGCAATTTGTCTTCAACAGTTCTTCACTGAAAAAATTAAGTACGAATGAATGTTATTATGCTCCCAATGGACAGGTATGTTGGACATCGCATAGGGCTTTGACTATAGAAGACGCTGAGTTGCCCAATGATGTGCTTCAAAAGATTTTAGCTGGTAGTCCTACGCTCAAATACTTGAAATTACATACCTGCTGGGTTATAAATAGTATTAATATCAGTTCAAGTTCTGTGCTTTAATACTTGGAAGTGCATAGATGCTGATCTATAACTCGTATTGATGCTAGCTCAAATGGTAGGTTAGAAAAATTGGTGTTGAAAGACATGCAGAATCATGACGATGGGGAACACAATGATGTGATAGAAATTTTGTGTCCTAATCTGAAGTCAGTGGAAATTTTGGGGTACTGTTACGGAAAGATATGCAGGTTGTTGAATGTATCCTCCTTAATTGATGTCTGCCTTACATTTGAATATGAGGATTATCAGTTTGATTACATTGACTTCTTGAAGGAGTTGCTTGAGAAAATCAAGCACGTCAAGAAAATTACTCTTGGCACTTGGTGTGTAGAAGTAAGTCCTTTTATTGGGGTTAGTCTAAGATGAATGTTGGCTATGACTTTTTTTTTTCTTCTCTCTTGTTAATGTTAAGTGCATTGTTTTTGATTTTGGAACTTACTAGGCTTATGGTTGTTTTGTTCTCTAATTTGCCAAGGTTCTGTACATATTAGAGTTCAGAGGATTGCCCTCTCCATTATCCGGCAGCAGTTGCGAATGCTTAACTCTAAATACAAAACTTATCAAATGCCATCCCTTTGGGTTGGCAGACTTGCTTCACTGCTTTCCAACTTTACAGAAACTAGTCATAGACATGACAATTTTTTATGAGGTTAAGGTATGACTTTCTGGAGTGACTTACAACTTTCAAGTTATTTTTTTGTTTTCCTTGTTAAGTTAATCAATTGGGATCGAGTAGTTATGGTATTCACTAAAAAATGGATGGAAAGTCAATAACTTTAAACTTTTCATCAAGCAATTGAAGTCATTGCACTTGAACTTCCTTTGTGTTATATGTGTAATTGAAATACATTGTTTTCTGCTAACTAAGTGTTTAATCTTCATCTGCAGGAACCACCTGATGAGTTTTTTCCAGGAAACAATCTAGAAAGAGTGGACAGAACTTTCAATTGCTTGCTTGAACATCTAAAGACCATTGAGATTACTAGCTTTATACCCTATCAGCTTGAACCAGATGATCTTGGATTTGTAAGTTTTCTGCTTGGGAATGCAAGGGTGCTAAAAGAGGTGGTCATACACTTTGAATGCAAAGGTTCAGAGTTTGATTTAGGTGAAAAGGCTAAACTTTTTGATCTGACTCAAAAATTGCTAAGCTTCCCAAGATGCTCACCCCATGCGGTAGTTCTTATTGATTAGTTCATTTTTTTTCTTTTCAACTGTATTTAGTGATTATGTAGTGGAATACTAAAATGTTATGAGTGGTATTAAACCATGACAAAACTCAACCTGCCTGTAATTATTATGTCTCTACCTTAAATTGAATTCAGGATTTGAACCAAGTTTTCACAGGCCGCACACCATGGTATATACTTCAAGTTCAAGGTACGCTCAAGTTTCAACTGCATGCTGTGCTTTATGTTAAAAATAAAAACTACTCCCTCTAAGAATAATTGATGTTTTTTTTATTAAGAATTTGTGTCAAAATAATATTTTTTTTAGTTTAACCTTATCATTATATCTTGATTTTAATTATCCATTTTAACATAAAAAATTTATGTAAAAATAAAAATTATCCGTAATCTTGTAAAATTGATTAAATTAGTTGCCTTTTTCAATAAAATTAATTATTTTAATTTGATTTTTTAATAAAGTTTTAATTAAAAAGTTTTATATAATAAATATATGGCAATTAATTTTTTTTCATACATAATTCTTGTTAAATATTTTTATTGAAATAAACATAATTTTTTATTGTTATTTATTTGTCATGTAAAATTATTAAATTAATTTGCATAAAGTTAAAGGACCGAGGGAACCATAAAAGTGCGAGGGAGTAGAATCTAGACTTTCATGTTGAAGAACACGAATAAATTGCTTGGTGCGAGAACGAACTTGAGAGGTGACTAGTTTGATGAACAAAGTTGACATGCGATGAGCTGGTTTGTTCTGGTTTAAAAAAGCGTTAGCTGTTAGGAGAAAAGATCTCCTCAAATCTTGAACCTTAGTAAATTGGGTTCGAGTTTGATCGGGGGTATCCTAAACTGGGCTACTTCACACCCAAATGACCCGATGGGCCTATCCCAATTTGGCATAATGGACCTCTAGGCCCTTACTTATTTCCTTTTATGAGTGTATTTTTTTTT